TACTTAAATGAGTTATTTAATCTATTGACCCTCTTAGCAAAACGATAACCAAAAGAAGGACTTAAACGGGGCGTTGATAACCGGAATCACCTTATAGTTGAAAATATACACCGTTGTAGTGCTGAAAACCGACCACTCAGAATTAACTATTACCAACCCGAGGAGAAATTATCACAAAATCAATACCATCAGGGAGTACATAAGTATATATGTATGACTTGAACTCTATGACTTCAACGCGTTCTTAACATTGTACATAGGGGCGTGTAATTATGAATTTTATATGACGACAGAGATGGCGCAAAAATATTTGCAGCTTTGACAAACTCTATAATTCGTTATAGAGCAACATACATATAAAAAGAAAACTTTTTTATCTAATAAAATTGGGACCCATCAGATCCGTCGTTAAAAGTATTTGAACTTTTTATGCCTAAGCTACACATTCGATTAGGCAAATCGTGTGTTTGGCAATAATCCATTTTTCACTATTCTTAATTCAATTATGGCAAATTTTGTAAGCCGAATTATACCAGTTGTCCACTGCTTTAAGTATACACACCTCGTTACTCTCTACTTGGGTTACGACAACAATTCCTGATGGTCTTTGGAAATTTTCGATAATTTTATCGCATTCAATCGCAATATTAATTAAGATTAAGAATGTTTGTCTTTATTATTGCCCTTTATTATTATCCGTATCCGTAAATGAAACTGGTATCGATTTTCATTATGCAAATTGTTGACTCCGAGTTCCCTCAAATTAAAACTCTGTGATTATACTGACGTTTTAAAGTGACGTACATACACATAATATGTATATTATACTGATTTAATATTAGTCGTTGATGAAAGAAAGGTAATGTTTCCCTCATATTAATTGAAAATTCCTAAACTGAAGATATAAGAAATAGGAAATATAACACAAGATATAAAATATAACAACAAGATATAAGACCAGGGATATACAAAATTACCGATTTCCACTTTATAAACTTCCTCGCCTTTACCAGGCAGAGACACGGTTTGGTTTATGCAGAAATTTTGCATCACCAATCCCTCGGTCGATGAAATTTGAGCCGAATTTGATTTTCAGGACGCCACAGGCTTTTATTGACTGTCCCCTTATTGAAAGTGTCAAGCTATTTTGACCTGCAGAAAATGCATGCATGAATCAAATCTAACGAAACTTTTGTGGAATACTAACGATGAGCATACCGAAGTTTTTTAGTCCTTGAGTTGTCCAAATACCACTTCCGTACCAGTGGAGAAAATATTTTGTCGAGCTCCTCCCATGAGCGCTTTGCCACTCGTTTCTCCAACTTCTGTGATGGTTTTCTCTATAACCCATTGAAATTCTTCCTATTTCGTTCATGTTCTTTTTTTCTAAGAGTATATTTTCTTAATTTATGGCAAAAATCCTTCAATGCGTAAACACTGGGGTACGTTTGGAGCCTTGTCTTTCTTTTCGAAAAAATCAACCTTTTCCCCTCAAAGGTACCCTGTCACTATTTTGGCATTCTGGCACGTAGTCATGTCAGACCAAAATAAAACGCGTTTGTTTTTGATAGAGGGGGTCATTATCTTGATGATGCACTCTTTCAAATAAACTACTGAGTTCGTATTCTTGGTGGAAGGGAATGGATTTGAGACGTTCCAATTTTTGTCGATCTCCGGCCATTTTATGCATGTCATTGGAAATTTTGCTTGGTTTTGAATTTATATTTCGAACAAACGTCATTTTTACTTCTACATGAGTAGAACTTTACCCGACTGACGCTTCGAGGTCAACGGGACATTAATTTTCATAATCCACGACCACAAACTTCTGTGAGTCGATTTCAACATTTTCTCAAAAAATTTTCGACAATTTGTTTTAGCTCCGGGCTTTTCATCTTCATTGTATTTTGGCGCGGTTTAAGTGTTGCAAGTTTTGAAGCCCATCTTATTGGCTTTGATCTGGCGAAGATAGGTTTTTGAAATTTTTAGTTTTCTGGGTGCAGCCCTCACGGATCTGTTCGGGTTTTCTGAAAAAGTTTTTTCACGTTTTTCTTCGGTGTTTTGGTCTTCTGACGGACAGGTCGACAAGTCAAAATTTTATTTTTTACATTTTCACGATCCCTGGATATGTGAAGTGCATGATGAATTTTGTCCGGGACATCCATTGAACAATGAAGTGGTTACGAGCCATTTTCTGATTCGAGAAAGTCACTTTTTCGCATGACTGGCAAACTAATTTTTCCACCTCCTCAACATTTTGTGCTGTCATTTTCTAACGAAAAGATATAATCAAATTCTGTTTACGGCTTTAGAAAGCTTATCGAATTTGCTATTTTTTAGGATTTTTACATATGCAAAATTAACTGTTAACAAGTTGAACCAATAGTGGGAACCTTGACACTTTCAATAAGGGGACAGTTAATATTTCTCTCCTCATTATACCCTTTTTACCACCCTTACAGCTTGCAATTTTTTGCTCCATGGTGTTTAGGATCCTTTGCGATGAAGTATCCACCACGGAGGCCAGAGTAATGACGAGAATGTTGTTTATACCTGATCCAACTGCGAGGAAGGGAAATATTGCAAATCCAGGAAGAGCAATTTCTCCGTGACATGTAATGCATACGTAGATATTTATTTATCTAGATATAGAGCGCGGATATTTGAATTAATGGTGGACACGTTATTATCATGGGCACGATTTTGTCAGTGACGCAGCATTGAATGATTTCTCCAGGATTTTGATATAGCGGTAGAGCCGGATGCAGGCGGTGGTGTCGGTGCAATTCTCAATTTTGGATATTTCTCTAAATATGTAAAAAATGACTAATTAGATTTGTCGTATGGAAATTAAAGAAAATAAGGTAAACCGTTAGAGAAAAACATTAGCGAATTCCAGTAAACCCAGTGTGACAAAATACATATAATCCGAATACCATATTGGGATATATACCTTGTGCATACATATTCTGGTGTGGTGCTAACAATTCTTTAATAAAATAAATTACATGTTAAGAAGTTCGAAGTAGTTCAGCAAAAACGTTATTCCAACAAAGAGAACGTATAGAATCCAAGCAGTTCCAGAAAACATAATATGGAAATTCATCCAAGTTTTGAAGGCGTGTACTCCAAGAGCAACTCCATAGCTTAACGACACGGGATTCCCAAAAGTTTCCAACATTGACAAGATGAACGGCGGCGTGCAGGGGAGACATCGTAACAAAAGAAATACCAGAATTGGATACGCGATAACGCCTATTTCCATCAATATGATATACGTCTTGATCCAATAGCAAACTCAACTTTTTTGAAATTTTCAATATTTTCGAAGATTTTCTGACCAAGGGTATGTATTGAAAAAATTCGAAATTTCAAAAAAATTGAGTTTGCTATTGGATATGATAGAGCAACTATCTGGGATCACAAAATTGTAAATTTCTTGAAAATCTGACCAAAACTCGATTTTTGGCGATGAATTTAGTGCGGCAACTCTGGGGGTTTGGGGGCCTTTGAGGGGGTGTGGCGGGCGTAAATGGGCTCATGGAGTCTAACCCTCCTTCACTTTTTCTACACTCATATAGTACTACAACATATCCAAAGGAGATCAAAATCGGGTGCCGACAAGTTGCGACCTTCTACTCCTTAGTTAATAATAACTTAATTCCATTACGTGCTCTCTGAACAGCGAACAGCGAAGTTTCGTAGAAGCTATGTCGTAGAAACGTTATGTTTAGGTGGAGTTAGTTACCAATAGCTAGTAACATATCGATTAAGAAATTATGGACGGACTAATTAGTCACAACCCTTAACCAAGATAATGATAACCACCACTGTCGTAAATATCCTGTTGAACAGGTTGCAACAATATTTTTGGTTAGTGAATGCATGGCCATGGGTTTCGAGTTAATTAACCATTTGAGATTGAGGTATTTGACAGAGATTTCATTGATTCTCGGTACGGGAACCTTCATAAGAAAACTCCGATTTTTACACCACCCACCTACCAATTCCATTTCATTCATGTTTACCTGAACACGAGTGAGTCAAAACTACCCACCCACATTTTCGATGACGTAATATATGGACGTTCCGTGATACATATGTATATATATATTCCTCCCTAAGTCCACCCTTGCCTTGCCCTATTATTTAAGGTACTTATGTACATAGTCAACTTAACGAAAAGTAATTTAGCAAGAAAATGCATTAAATTCACTTCAGAAAATCTTACGTGAATCTTTGTATTTTTAAATACTATTTAAATAACCTCCAGTGCAGTGTTCATTTAGCCCGAGTCAGGTTAAATTATTACACTATTACATATTTGCAACTGACATTTATTTAATCTGATGCACCGATGTATCTTCATACCAAATTTCACCGTTTTCTGGCCATTTAAATAAATCTGTATGCCCCTCCACCAACGGTCCCTCTGGAAAAATATTCTGCAATTTAACTTCATATTCTTCAGTCTGATGTTCCTTTGCACCTTCATACCAAATTTCACCATGTTCTGACCATTTTCAAAAATCGGTATGGGTCACCCCCTACGGTCCCTCCGGTGGAAAATTTTTAAAGTTTCCCTCCTGAATCTTGCATTATGAGCTATTAGACATATGTATGCCAAATTTCAGCTTTCTAGCACCATTTTGAAATTTTGGTGCATAATACCCCACCCACTTGAATGACCCCCACTGGTCAACCACTCGACCGATTTGGTTCATCTTCGAACTTAACTCCTAACTTTGCCTCATATACATATGTACAAAATTTGAACTCAATCGGTTCAGCCGTTTTGGCCCTATCGTGTCTCGGACGGACAGACGGACATGACGGTTCCATAAGCCCTGACTCGGGCTAAAAATTGAATTTGAAAACGTTTCTCACATTGAAAATGTATTCCTGTTTGAAATGCCTGTTTTTATAAGAATTTAATTATGCACATAATTATACCGAATACTGATGCAGCACTGGTGTATAATTAAGTATGTACATACATATTTTACTCTAACATACACACTTTTATTTCAGAATAAATAAGGGCCACCAATCAATACAAGATCCGATTGTAAATAAATGCATAGGTGCAAACAGTCATACATTCACTCTAAAAAATAATGTTACCCTTTTCAAAGTAAATGGACTTTGAATTCTATATTAACTAGGGTACACTAAATCCAGAGCGACGGTAACCTGAGAAATAGTAAAGTTTGCTCTTGATTTAGCATACCAAGATTATTTAATTTCGAATTCAGAGTGCATTTTTTAAGAGTGTTGGATCGGAGCTTCTTCTCCGTCTGAAGAATTGCCGTATTGCTTCCCTCTTCCTTTTTTGACGCATTTGTTTTGTATGTGGCCTCTGAGACGGTCAGGTTTTGCGTGTTTGAATTCCTTTCCACACAGTTTACACTTCCAAGTGCGGGTGGTCTCGTTGACATTTTGAAAATATGCCCACACCGGGTCTCGGGCTTTTGCTCCTTTTCCAGTTTTAGGAAGATGAGGTTGTGGTGGAAGGGGCGAGGTAATAAGGGAGTGGTTTGTCCGCATTAAATTTAGGCCTTCTCCTGGAATAAGTCAAGACTAGATTAACATTCGCAAAAAATTCGCAAAAATTCTGTAAAATTCGCAAAAATTCTGTAAAATTCGCAAAAAACAATCCCATTTGACACAAAAAATCGCCCATGCTAAGGCATTTTTACCACAAGTTTTTAACCTATTTACAATTTGGTGAAAAAAATGTCAAATTTGTTTCTTTCGTAGTTTTTTTATTTTGTTTGGAAAAAAAACTTCCGTATCCCAAATTCCAGTCTATTTGGAAACATTATTTAGATTTTTTGAAGAATTCTTACTGGGAATGCGAATGATTAATTAATGATTTGTTGAATGGAATTTTTATAAATTTCGGAAAAGACTAAGTTGTCTGGTTACATACGTTACCATATTTCTTCACCACTCTGTACATGGTCGAAAAATTGTAGATTATTTCACATTGGACAAAAATTAAAATAACGAGATGCGCTTACCAACTTCCGCTTGAAGGCCGTTGTTTTCGTGAGAAGGAATTATTACGAAATCGGAAGGGTACGGATAAATTTCGACTTCTTCTTCAGAATCCTGCTCCATTTTAACAGAGTCCGGTCCAATTTCTAAGTATTCCTGGTCCGCGATGTAAATTGGGTCGCGACTCTCATGCTGGTCGTCAACGTTACGGGAGAAAGTTGGAGTTGACGTCTTGTCCAGGGATTTTCCTAGTCACAAATATAATTTTGTACTTATTTAAGTTGAAAAATGTTTGCATTATTTAACAATTGTAACATTGGACTCGAAGACTCGTCACTAAAATGGCCAAAATCAGCAATTTTTAATCATTTTGCATTTCTTTGATCTAAGAATGAAGTTTAAAATTCGTCTACACAGTGTGTTGATTAATGTAAAGCCGGTGAAAGCCAGTTTGGATGAGCTCTAATTTTTCTGAAGTTTCCAGAAACTTGACTTCAAAAACTTCTGGAGTGTATATTTGCAAAAAAATTGCAGTGACTCCCAAATTTGTAGTCCAAGTCCAGAAGTTTAAAATAAATTTCCAGATATGAGAAATGTACTGATTTTGACGCTGACATGGCCCTTTGATTCATACGCAAATTTTAAAATATTTAGAGAATTTAAATATTACGTTTCCTTCTAGAACTTTTAATTTTTTGCTGTCTTTCTCCGGCGAATTTTGGCGTTAAGTAGTCCACATCAGAGGATCCTTCGTCATCATCACGACTGTCTAAATCTGACAAAAATAAACGTATTTTTAATTTGAATCCATGATAATCATTATATTTAAAAAAAATAAAATAAGCGATAATTAATTCACCAAAACTTCCAAGTTGTGCGAAATGTTTCGCAATTTTTGCCACGAATGCTTCCAACCTGGCGACGCGATGGATAAGTTTTTCCATTTCACGTTTAGTAACAGACATGGTTAGTTAAATACAATTAGTTATATCTAGTCTGGTGTTGCAAATGTGTAGGTAAATAATTAAATAACGATATTTTGCAAAGAGATGGTAAAAAATATTTCCAAACACATGAGTAAAATGTAAACATTGCGTTCGCTCTCAACGAAATGTTCTCGCTTTCCCCTGAAAATATGTTTTCGTGCGATTTCATATGCAGATGTATGTATTAAATACATACTGAAAAATGAATGGGATTCATTTTTCAGTGAGTGCATTCACTCTTAATGCACTCTGAATTTTATATGACGAGAATTATGTACCCTAAATTAAAATAGACTGTTATGGGGCCGTCCATAAATTACGAAACGCAAAAATCGCGATTTTCTACACCCCCTTCCCCCCTTTAACATGTGTAACATAGGCACGATATCATTGGAGCCTTAGACCCCCCCCCTCCCCCCTCTTGCGTTACGTAATTTATGGACGGCGCCTATGTAGATTGATAAATATTTATATCAAGCTAAAATTACTCTAGATTTTGTATAGTTTGTTTGCATAATAGACTCAAGAGTGGTAACATTATTCATTTTTCACACCATGCATAATGCATGGTGTGTAATGCATGATGCATTACATAGACCACTACGTATTTACTAAGGCGAATTATAGAGAAATTTAATAAAAAATGAGTAAGTATTTATTTTCTTAATTTTGAAAGCATAAATATTTTTCTTTTCGATTTTTAAGTTGAATGAATGAATGACTATTTAATAGTCATTCATTCATTAAATATTTCTATTTAATATTAAATATCACTATTTAATCAATTAAGTATTTTATTAATATTAAATTGATGATATTTTTTAACAAGTATGTGTATACCTATTTCATATTTATATAAACAAGGGAAAATTAACAACGCTCCATCCTCCTTATCAAATCCAGATACATATTTTAAAATTAATATTGAATGTGAATATTTAAGTAATGAATTAATTATTGAATTAGTATTTAATTAATTATTTACTTAATATTTAATTAATGAAATTTTTAGCCCGACCCAGGGCTTATGTACCCGTGATGTCTGTCTGTCTGTCTGTCTGTCTGTCTAACGATAACTCTCGTAAAACTTATCCGATAGACTTGAAATTTTTCACACATGTATACTATGTAAATAAATACACAACTCGAGTTCGAAGATGGGCGACATCGGTCAAGAGTTTGACCGGTGGGGGTCATCGGAGTGAGTGGGGTATCATGCACCAAAATTTCAAAATTATAGTAGAAAGCTGAAATTTGGTAGTAAATGGGTCCTAAAGAAAGGACATGATCTCAAATTGGAAAATTTTTCATCTTGAGGGACCCTATGGGGTGACCCCTACTGATTTTTCAAAGTCGTCATATCGAACTAAAATTTGGCATTTAGTTTTCTTATGGCTCTTCATGGAAGAGTATGCATTGGAATTTGAAAAAATTATATCTGGAAGGACCCTATGGGGTGACAATTAACCCTGGGTCGGGCTACGCAAAGCTGTACTGATAGGTTTTTAACAAGTACATATGTATTTATGCAAGCAAGGGGAAATTAACAACACTTCCTTCACCGCATCAATTCCAGAAAATTTTTTCGTTAAAAAGTTTTAACTCCAATGAATATTGAAGGTGAACATTTAATTAATGAAGTATTTAATTAATATTTAATTAATGATATTTTTGACAAGCACATAAATATTTATGAAAGGGGCAATTAATAACCCTTCCTCCACCGCAGAGGTCGACGCCGACAAATCTTCGGCAGCCGCGGCGCCAGTTTTTGGTGATTTTTCGGCGTCGTCGGCGGCGCGGCGCGGCATCGCAAGGTTGAAGGTATAAGAAATCAAATTTTCGGCGGCGCGTAAATAGTACCGGCGTCGGCTGCGTATTATCGGCGGCGTCGACTTCTGGTCCACCGCATTAATTTCAGACGGTCAGTGCTTAATTATATAATAGACTTGAAGGTATCTTCCTAGTCTCCGAAGCTTCTCGCTCCTTTCATCCAACCCATACGCGGCACCATATCCGGCGTAATCGTGCTCAAAAACCGGACCCTTGCAGCACTTCATTGATAACCAAAAACTTATCAGAACAATAAAATAAGATATCAAATACAAAGTAGAAAAAGATAAAGCCGTGACGCCCGCAATATAATTTGGTTTCCCGGTGAAAAACGGTACGAACCAGGCATCATAAGCAAACTGAAGGGTTAACAGGGTTACAAATAAGGATGAGGAAAGGAGGCCTAAAATTGGAAGGGTTTTTGCAAAGGGGAAATGACTCTGGCGGAAGTGGCGGTGATGATTGTGCTACTCCTCGAACTAAAATAATGTATAAATAAGTAGTTTAATTAATTGATTTACTGGTGTGAAAGGTAATAACTACTCGCACCAACATGCTCGTAAATTGAGCAAGATATGTATGTAGCATGACATGCGAAATTTTGTAGGAAAGGCATGAGATTTTTTATGCAACTTTATCCAACAAATTGGCATGTGTTACATATTTCGCAAAATTATCTCGCACTCATCCTGGTTAACAGACATTACTACATTTTACTACATATACCGAACACAATACCTGCGATATTACATGCACCAGACCAGATTTGTAAAAGTGTATTTTCACCACTTGGTAATAATACTTTGCGAATGGATTGTTTAGAGTGTAAGCAGTACATACATAATTATATGAATATTTACCTTAAATCCCCTCAACTTGCGGTTGAGATAGATCCACAAAACCAGAAGGAATGTAGTCATGCTTGCTGACGTGAAGGAAATGAGGAAATTGATCCAATCCTGGAAAGTCAGTCAATAAATGGGTTATTGAGTTTTCATAAGTATGTATAAAATTATTACCGTGTTTAACCGGTTGGTGATTTTTGTTTCCGTATTTTCCACATTGGTCGTCCTGCCATTTATTTGCATCCCTTTGAGTCCCATGAGAAAACTGAGGATGGACAGCATGAAGAAATATGACTACATGTATAATATGTAAATTCATATATTAATAAATTAGTCCTCACATGTTTGCATGAATGAAATAACATTGCAAAGTTTACATGAATGTGTACATGAAAAAGACAAAAGTATGATTTTTTTTTTCACCCCACATCATACAGGGTGGTTAAAATGTCACGCAACAATGGAAAATTATTCAATGGGAACAGTCCAAAAATCTCCAGTAGTTACAAGATTTGGGATTGAAATTTTCATAATTATCATCAAAACTAATCACAAAAGTCTTCGAATGTTGCATTTTAGATATAAAATGACATTTTAACCACTCTGTACATACATATGTATACTGTCAATAATCTGGAAGACTCTTTGCAAAATGGTATTTAGTCATTACCAACCGGCGTAAATATAAGACTTCAACGGGCGCGGTAATACATATGTACATACATATGTAACCCACATTATCGCTTGGACCAAAAGGTCATATAAATAAATATGTAATATGGTTACCCGGGTTTTGTCAATATTTTAGCAGAGCAGTTATCTAAAAATGACTACTCACCGAACAAAGTATTCCCAGATAATTTACCAGCACCAGCAGAAAACCAATCACGTTTCCTGTTACAGCCATAAGAATTTCTAAATTGTTTTTAGATTTCGTATCTGATGCAAAGGATTGAAAAATGCATAATAAATTGATCTATATTAGATTTGGTTGTTATTTTCTGCACTGCACTCACTGCACCCATGATAAAAAGAGAAAAGCAACATGTGTGTAAAAGACGGCTGGTGAATGAAAAGCGATCGATCGATTAAATGTATGGGCCGTTCATAAATTATGTAACTCGAGAGGGCCAGGATGGGTTCAATGATAACACTGTAATAATTTCATACCTACATATGTTAACAATCGCGAGTGTTGCTTTACATAATTTATGAACGGCCCCTATGAACCACACATGCCAACCCGGTCTCTTTATTAAGGGGTGAAAGCCCTTTATAAGATCGTTATGTCCGTCTGTTGGTCCGATAACTTTCGAACAAAAACACATATAGACTTGAAATTTTGAACTTAAGCTCCTAACGTCAGGGGACAGGACGAGTTCGAAGATGGACACTGTAGGTCACACCTTTCAAGGTCAAAAGGTCATTTTAACGGATGACACACTTCTTTCACCCCTTGGTTACATGCGTTGTAACGGTTTATTATCTACCCGGATCAAAACAATTCACAAGTGACACAATAAGGACATGGCTCTTTATGTAGGTAGATTCAATGCCAACATGGCCATAATCAACATTTTGGCACAAATTTCTAAACGAATTTTAGCAAATTGCAATGCTTATTGATCTATTTAAGTGATACTAATATATAGCTAGGTATGTACATATGTAAGTATGCAAATTTGATACGAATTCGTCATTTTTAGAAATATTATCTTGCTGGCGACAGACTTGTAAGCATACTTACATACATAGATACATATGTATTCATGTACATATTTATATATTAGTATGCAAATCTTCATCTGCAGACATCACTTATATAAATATTACTGCATATACATAGACATACGTAAATATGTAAAAGTGTAAAAAATATGGAGTTCAGTTTGGAAAAATCTGGATTTGTTGCTATGCATGATTCATCAATAGGTATGTAGAAGTTATGGAATTCCCAGGTTAAAATATTTACACACAAAGATGGACATAAATTCGTAAATAAATTATGATGAGCCACGAAGCCAAGAAATTGTTGAAAATTCGTAAATATGTACATAATCATACAAAATTTATCTTCTCCGTCGATACATATTTTCTTAAATAAATTTTTATTAGGTTAAGATCGAAAATGTGATTATGCATGGCATAAATACACACATATGTACATTCATAAGTATAATTTATCTAAATATAATGCAATATACCAAATCTTGGTTTGTTGACTTGTCCAGATTAGATTATATTTGACAACTTCATATTCTAAGTAAGTCCTCAAAAATAAGAAAATCGGTCACCAGCAATATTACATTTGAACGATCGATGAGCAATCCAATCCTTCTGTCCAATTTAAACGCACGAAGAATATTCAAAACTGAAAAATATCAAACATTTCTCGTTCAATGTACAGAAATTGTAAAATGTTATCGACATTTCGACGAAGTACAGGTTTCCTGTCTCGAATTTGTGGCCCTACAGAAGCACTAAAACAATCAGGTAGAGAACTCGTATCTCCAGAAATGTGGATTCTTCTAAATTTGTACAGAAACGTGTTCGTGAAATTTTCAATGATGCCGTTTTCCTTCGAAATATCTGAGCGGGTGATACACGTGGATCGTTTGACACGCCGGAAACGCTTGGTTTCAAAATGTTGGTCAGTCTTGGGTCCACTTCATAGCCTGATTTGCTTCTACCTTTTAAGCAATATGGTTTCTGGAAGTAAACTTAAAAGTTACGACGTCTTGGACATCTTACGACCTGTGGCCTGCATGTACCTTGGAATTCTTCCACTCACTATGATGGGAATGAGTTATACGATCTCATTTTGTCCACAAGTTGCTCCAAGTATTGTGAACTGTATTCCCAGACTTGAAGAGAAATTTAGTGGTAAGTCAGGTACTTACTGAGAGTTGGTGCCCAGTATTAGTTGGTGGTGGTAACTCGTATTAAATCAAGTGGATATAAATTATTGAAAAATGATCAAATCCAATAGGTTGTGCATGACAAATGTAACAGCTAACTTATCCACATTTCGCCTGTCTATTTCTACATTAGCGCATGTTCCTATTAACCTTGTCCATATCGGTTTATTGACTCGGATTCCAATATAATTATTTATAATTACATGTTTTTTTCAATTTAAACTTTAGAACTTGCCAACACAGTTTGCCGAAGAAGGCCAACCGTGTCCAACCCGCATTTGGAAGCCTTAATATACATTGGGATCTTTGCAGCTCCACTCGCCATGATGGTATTGGTCCCATCTGCAGTTGTGCTAAACCTTGACCCGCTTAACATTTTTTTTTCGACCACGTGTAAAGATTGCGTTGCAAGAATGGTCACATTCTACATGACCCGAATCCTTATACTAACCTTGCTTTGTGTGGAAATAGTGAAGGCAGGGTTAGCTTTTCTCATCGTGGGAATGATCGTCCTGCTTGCCGCGTCCGAGGGGGCTTGCAAACTTGATAACTGTATAAAATCCGGAACAGTTTCAAAACTTGGGATACTTCGGCTATATCAAGAACTCCAGATTTGGAATCAGCACACCAACATACTCTTCTGCTATAAGGCGATACCTCCCCTGCTATTTTTGGGCCTTATCATAGTCATCTTTGTAAATTATGCGACGATCAAATTGTTCGGCGTGCTGCCCGGTATGATTTATCCCGCTGCTCCTGCGTCAAGCCTTGGGGCAGCCGTGTTATTCATGACGCTGTTACCACAAGCGGCGAAAACGCATGATAATTCAAGCCTCTTTTTGGCCAGTGTAAAGAATTACGTGATTGGAAAGTATGAGAGAAAGGTAGGCTATTCCTTGAGACCGATAGGGGCTAGGTGTGGTCCGTTCGGTATTATTAGGTACGAATGGGTGAGCAAATTTGTGGAGACGGATTTGAATTATACGTTGACAGCGTTGCTAACATTTCGATAGGTTTCGATGCTTAAAACTGTGTATATTTATTAGGTTGAAGTATTTAATGTTGTTGCATAAATCTAAGCAAAAGATTGAAAGTGAAGTTTATGTAGCGGGGTACGCTATCTTGAGATTTTTGTTTTGTTATTTGAGGTTTTTTAGGGTTTCTGCTGGTTTTCCAGAATTTCTGCTACATTTTGAAACAAAATTATTTAAACTCTCCGATAGATAGGAGCAGTACTAATTTAATGTTCGGATTCAGCTTGAAACTTTGAGTAGTTTCATTATTATATTATTAATTAAATAATTTAAGTGTCAAGGGCAAATTTAAATTTGACTAATTGATGATCTACGACTCCATTGCATGAAGAATTGGTCTCCATATTTAATTTCGGCTAATATTTCTCTTCGAAGGTGCCATTCAAGACTTGTGTCACTTGATTGCTAGTTTTTGGCTTGATTTTTCGATATATGACATATTTTAATTGGCCATCAAATTCGCAAAATTACGGGATTTTAAAAAGGGTGTCACCCTTTAATAAGTACCTAATTTATGCACTGCACACAAAGTTTATTTATAAGTTCTCACATACATAAGTATTCATATACAACGAGAGTATTTAGCATTTTTACTGCACAGATACACATGTAATACTAGGATCGCAAAGATATGTATTTATCAGGACAAAAGTTACATATTTAGTACGAGTAGTTTTGTCTACTTGTTAGTACCAGAGCTCCACGTCGTTAAAAAATCGTCGGCGGCGGCGTGAGTAGTGAAAACCGTCGGCGGCGCGCCGTTTGGGCCCTCGCCGGCGGCGCGCCGATATTTCTGCCTGTTTTTCAGTCAGTGATCATAACTGACCTTTTTATTTAGCTTCCTCTGACATAGTAATATATTTCGCGTACTAATTTTAATTGGTTCAGCGAAGAAATAAGCCGATCCATTTTTTTTAATTCGTGTTAATTTGAGTTTTCTGCATTACAGAATTTCAAAAATACAAATATTTGTATTTCTCGACTGCCTTAATAGCCATATAACTCGATTCTTGGCGGAACTTCAAAAATTTAAAAGTTAGCTTGACTTTTCATGAAATTTTTGAAATTTTTATAATTGATAGTTTTAAATAACCCCAGGACTTGGCAAAATATAATATCCTCAAAAAATAGTAATTTCGATAAGCCATGTATTTATGTACTCAATTTGTATGTACCCAAAATATCATATTTTAAATATATACGTTATCGATCCTTTAGGTGGTGTCAAAATTTGAACTATTCGAAAAGATCGCTAATTAGGAATGCGTATCGGGAAAAAAATATTAATTTTCTCAATGTCAATCACAAATGAAACCCTTAAAACTAAAATTTCGTCGTTTTTGATCGTTTTATCTGGTTTTAATTGTATAAAATATCTTTTTTCTCGGCGGCGCGCCGGTACTTATGCGGCGGCGGCGCGCCTCGGCGCGCCGATGGATTTTCTCGGCGGCGGCGGCGTGTCAAATTGGGTCGGCCTCGGCGGCGCGCCGGCGAAAAATCGGCGGCGTGGAGCTCTGGTTAGTACATACATGCCATTTTTCACTGTGGTATTGAGTTTTGTTAATAACATTCCTTATATTATTACAACCACTTATTACTTATCAGACGAATAAACGTTTTTATTGAAATATAAAGGAAACGATTGCGAAAGCACACATTTAAATGCGTAATTATGCTAATAATCATCATACAAACAACATGAACCTTATCCGCCATTTAATCCATAAACCCGACCAGTTTAGGGCAATACTCCTTATATTTAGCCTAGAATCCTATAACTTTTAAGCAATATTTTGCTCACATTTGGAGACAAAGATATTATCAAAATTTATTTTTCGACAGAAATTTATGTATAATATACATAAATTTGCATAGTTTTTGTATGTATAATATACATACAAAATTTGATACCAAGTCGTTTAATCTTAGTGACCAGTGCACATATGTATCTAGATATGTGCTTATACCTACATGTACATTTATATTCTCCTATTATTACATATTGACAGTTAATTCTACATATGGAAATGTTAAATATCCAGTTTAAATTGGTAGTTGGAAGTTGTGGATTTGTCGCGAAGACGGAATTGTGGAATAATCGAAA